CCAGTAGAACTATCACCAGGAACAAATTTATTACATGTCAAAATAGCCGTTTCATCTATCTTAACTTTAAAGTTACAGTGTCAAAATACAGTGAACCAAGTCATCATCCTAAAACATAATGATCTTATCTACAAACCCCACAATAGTAACAGGCATCAAGAATATTGAGGATGGCACAATGTTACAGTCTTACATACTTTCTCCACTCCCACCTCACTTTTAGCTTAATATCTCAGGTAAATTGCCTGGTACAACTACAGGTGCACAGATTTGATTTCCTCCCAAATTCTCCTTCCCTCAATTACCCTTCCCCTTCTAATTTTGTGCGTTCAGGTACCCAACAGTCACTTTTGCAGCCTCAAGAGGGAGCGGTTAACATAATACCAATGATCAAGAAAGGCCAGCACTTGATCTGACACCTGCAGCAAAAAAAACTTCATTGCAGAAGCTTTAGCGGCTAATATAGTACAGAATTTGAAGAGCACTTGGTTTGTAACTGAGCATGACTGGGTTGCAGCAGAACTGGGGGGAAAATTGTGTGCCAGTTCATCAGAGGGTGGGGTCACAAACAAATTTTATGACAGGTGATTCACATAAATTGTTTGGCACTGGAATATAGAATGCAGATGAGGATGTGCGTTAAGATGCTTAGAACATTAGTAGGCCTGCTAGGCATCCTACCTTCACTGACAAGGAGCATGGAGGATTAAAGCTCCAACATAGAAAAGGATATATTTATGTATAAAAATATTACAGAAATATTATTGTTGGTAAAACTTTATTGGAAGATCATGGCCAAATGGGTGCTGTGATAGAATGAGCAATGTTGGAGGCAAGATGCTAAATGGATATTCCAGAGGGGAACAGACATCTAGGAACCCAATCCCAAACTGCCATCCCAGAGCAAAGGGGCAAAAACAAAGTTGCTGGAAAAGCTCAGCAGGTCTGGCAGCATCTGTGAAGGAGAAAACAGAGTTAATGTTTTGGATCCAGTGACCCTTCCTCAGAACTGACGGTGGCTGGGAAAAGATCAGTTTATATGCAGAAAATAGGGAGGTGGGTGGGGTAGGGAGTAAACGATAGGATAGAGCCCAAAGAGAGAGAAAGGTAGTTGGACAGATAAAGGAGTTGCTAACGATCAGGCTGGGAGGGTGAGTAGTTGTTAATGGGGACTGTTAGTGACTAACAACAGGGGGTGTGTAATAGCAGGCTATGTGGTAACAAGGCCTGGTGTGAGAGTCTGGAGGGCTGTAGGGTCCCTAAGCGGAAAATGAGGTGTTGTTCCTCCAGCTTCCGTTGGGCTTCACTGGAACACTGTAGCAAGCCAGAGACAGGGATGTTGGCAGGGAGCAGGGTATTGAAGTGGCAGGCAACGGGTAGTTCAGGGTCTCCAGAACAAAGGGACCCTAGCTGCATTCTCTCTTCTTCCTCTTCCCAAGGTGACATCAGGAAGTCTGATGGTAATGGCTGCATTGTCAGTATGGAAAGGTTATGGTGCATTCAAAAGACCACAAGTACATCAGAGTCACACTCCACAGTGCACAAGCAGTCCAGAAAGCAGAATATTTGCTTAAGAACACCGATGGCTTTCACCATACACTTGTTGCCATTGCATGGGGTAGTGGTGAAGAGGAATCATTAGTCACATATTAACAAAACAGACCCTTGCCCACTCTCTATTCCTTCTTGGAAGACTGAAAATGGAGGAAATGGCAAACTGTCTCAGGCCGTAGACATTGTAATTGCTGCTAAGATGGCACAAATTTATTAGCATTATTTTCCTTTACACATAGTCACATAATAATGATGATCCTTCTGGCTTTTATATTTGTCCCCATTGCTGTGGAACCAGCAGTGCCAAATGCATGCAGTCAATGGTTTTATTATACCATTGGGTTAAACCTCCTACCCTGCCTAATCCATATTCCTATTCATCCTCCCCTTTCAGCATAATGGACTTCCATCACTTTCTGAATGTGACAAAGATGGCAGACTGAGAGGAGTTTGCTATGTTGCCTGTTCACGGGAGATAACTCATTCACATAAAACTGACCTTTACAGCCATTAGTAGTGCTGCCTTCACCAAGATGCAAGGCTACAGATCCTCTTGGAGTGTAAAAATTCTGTGACCACTTTCTTGATGAATCACAGTTATCTCAGTTGTGGCTGAGGTGGGATAGAGGTAGAAAGCTTTTGCTAGGTAGGGCCTCTTTCCTCTTTGCAGAGCTTTCCCTGCCTGCAGCCTGAACTCTTCTTTCATCATATTCTGGAACCAGAGGCACTGCAACTGCAACTGCAACTGCAACTGCAATTCCTATGCCTCTTGCAAATTTGATGTACACTGGTGACCAAATCCTCTGCTCTCTATGAATGGATGCACTATACGATGAAGGTTCATAACATATTATTATTTGAGAGCTTGGGTTCTGAAGTGGAAGAAGAATGTACAGAAGTTGAAGCTATATTTTTATTTTGCGTGTTAAAAACGAAAAGACACGTTTTCCAGTTTTGTTTTAGATTTGTTCTGAGAATGATGGTGGGATGCCTAAAGATATGCATCTAATGAGGTCTTTAAATCCTGGAGGTGAACTGTGGCAACAGTATTCCAGTAACACAAAGTCAGAACAATCCAGAAGAATTCAGGCAAAGTGCTGGCTGATTCAGAGAATACATCCCAAAAACAGACGCACTATCATTACCAGACTCTGTTCAGTCTGCATTGAAAAGTAGCCCTGAGTGGCCCCATCCTGCCGATCTCCTTTGCCACTTTGGCCACCTTGCTGCAGAGTCCTACTCTGGTACCACTTCAGACATTGTTGAAGACGTGATGCCTCCGACCGTGACCAGTTGCCTTGAAGCCTCCATCACCAAGCTCTAAAGACTAAAGAACTAAAGGAAATGAAAGGAAAATAAAGAGAGAGATGAAGAAAGAAAAGCTGTTGGAGTGGATGAGCTTTGGTGAGGACTCCTAGTCCTCTGCCATTAGAAGAAAACTCCAGAAACAGAAGCTATTGTGGAGTCACAAAGGAAGACATTGCACAAGTCTGCTGAAGACATGAGTTTAAGGAACACATAGGGAATATAGGAGCAGGAGTATGCCATTCAGGCCCTTTGAGCCTGTTTGCCATTCAATGAGATTATGGGAGATCTGAGGCCTAACTTCAGATGCCTGCCTTTCACCCATATCCCTTAACACCTTTACTTAGCAAAGGTTTATCTGTCTCAGGATCAAAATTAACTGAACTAGCATCAACTACCATTTGTGGAAAAAAGTTCCAAACCTCTACAATCCTTTGTGTGTGAACTGCTTCCCAATATCTCTCCTGAAAGGTCTGGCCTTAATTTTGATTTGATTTTTTGTTGTCATATGTACCTACATACAGTGAAAAGTTCTGTATTGCTTGCAATACAGGCAGATTATAGCAAACAAGGTCATGCAAATTATACAGTGCTTAGACAGAGCAAGACATACAAGGTAACGATTGCACGGGAGGTGCGCAAAGCAAGATTAACATTAGATTTGAAACTGGAGAGGTCCATTCAACAGTCTAATAACAGCAGGGGCAAAGTTGTTCTTGAACCTGTTGGTGCGTGTTTTCAAGCTTCTGTATCTTCTTCCTGACGGAAGAGGTTGTAAGAGGGTATTATTGGGGTGGGAGGGGTCTTTGATGATGTTGGCAGCCTTTTTGCAGCAACGTGTAGTGTAAATAGAGTCCATGGATGAGAGGCTGTTTTCCATGATGGTCTTGGCTGTGCACACGACTTTCCATGGTTTCTTATGGTCCTGGGCAGAGCAGTTGTCATACCAAGCTATAAAGCACCTGGATAGAATGTTTTCTATGGTGTATCTGTAAAAGTTGGACATGTCAAATTTCCTTGGCTGCCTGAGGAAGAAGAGGCATTGTTGTGTCTTCTTGACTGTCACATTGGCGTGGAAGGTCCAGGACAGATTGTTGGTTATGGTCACTCCTAGGAACTTGACACTCACAAACCTCTTCTCCTCAGCTATGTTGATGTAGGTCGGATGTGTCCTCATCCTTTCTTCTTGAAGTCAATGATCAATTCATTTGTTTTGCTGACATTGACGGAGAGAGACTGTTATCATTGCACCATGACAACAAGCACTCTGTCTCCTTTCTATATTCCATCATTGTTTGATATCCGGCCTACAACAGTGGCATCATCAACAGATAGATGGAATTTAGCTACACTGTCATGGGTGCAAAGGGAGTACAATAGAGGGCTAAATACACATCCAAACAGGGCACCAGTGCTGAGGATTACCATGGTGGAGGTGCTGTTGTCTATCTTCACTGATTGCGGTCTGTGGGTCAAGAAGCTAAAGATCCAGTTGCAGAGGGTGGAACCGAGACCTTAGTCTTGGAGTTTTGAGATTAGTCTGGGAGAGATTATAGTGTTGAAAGCAGAACTGTATTTGATGAGTAGGAGCCTGACACAAGTGTCCTTGTTATCCATATGTTCCAGAAATGAGTCAAGGGCTTGGGAATTGGCATCCGTTGTGGACCTGTTTCACCCGGTAGGCATATTGCAGGGGAATAAGGCAGGCTGGGAGGCTGGAGTTGATGTGGGCCAAGACTAACCTCTCGAAGCACTTCATGATTATAGAGGTCAGAGCCGCTGGGCAGTAGTCACTGATGCACACTGCATGTGTTTTCTTTGGTACTGGAATAATGGTGGTCTTCTGGAAGCAGGTGGGGACTTCAGATTGTAGAAGGAGAAGTTGAAGATGTCAGCGAACACTTCCACCAGCTGGTCTACACAGGATCTGAATGCATGGCAGTGGTGGAAAGTTTTGAGAACTTGTAGGTTTGGGTGAGGATGAAGTGGAAAAGAATCAGAGAAACTGAAGAAAGTAGAGAGAGGAGAATAGCAGAGTGCTGTGGTAAAAACAGATGGCAGAATAAAGCATATTGGAGAAGAGTGATGGTATCAGATTTGTGTAACTACTAAACCAAAAGCTCATGCTCGGCTCGGCACAGTATTAAGTCAGAAGCCGTACAGGTGGTCTTGGGAGACCATTGCAGCTGAAACCTTTGGCTCTGGCCAGCTCTGGGATTTCATTCCCGGCAGCCAGGGAGATCCTACTGGCCTCGTCTACCAACGCTATCAGAAGAACAGGTACAGTTGGCGTCTTCTCAGTATCCACAGACATTGAGGCGGGGAAATCCAAGATTTTGTTTATATCCTAAAATAAAACAAAGAACTGCAGATGCAGGAGATCAGAAACTCAGCTAGTCTGGCAGCGTCTGTGGAGCCAGAAACACAGTTAACGTTTCGAATCCGGTGACTTCTTCTGGTTGCAGCGACCAACTCCACACAGCGCCCCTCACCCCACCACCATTACCCACTCCCCAACCCGTCAAGTGTGATTAGAATCACTTGTTTTATGTTAAAGCAAACAAAAAGGAATTTACCTCAGGACGAACATGAACATAGCTGTTCATATATGAGGATTCTTATATTATTAACGAGAGCAAGAGAATGATACCAACCCCGTCCGGATCACCTGCGAGTTTGGTACACCTTTTATTTTTAAATGAGACGGGAAGCGAGACCGTTAAGCAAAACAGACCAGCTGACAACGCACACCTGCTAAAGCCAACGGCTGTCCGCCGAGGACGCAAATAGTGGGGCGGGGCATCGGAGGGTGTGGGACGTCAGAAGGGGGTTGGGCGCTTGTGAGGGTGGGCTGTCTCTGAGAGGGCGGAGCCCGATGCCTGAGGCCGAGCCTCGGTTTGGCTCAAAGTGCCGGGTTGCACGCGCGTTGTTTCCCTCGCGCTTCCGTTGGCAGGAAATCTGTCAGTTGGTGAGATAGAAACGGGGAAGGCCTTGTGAGCTGGAGGGACTGTTTCTTTTTTGGGAATAGATTGCAACCTATTTATATGATTTCCCATTAGTTGGAGAATCGCTCAGAACATTTGTCGTTCTTGTTGTGTGCATTGTACTTTTAGTTAAATCTTATCTGAAACAGTGGTGTTGTGACTTCCTGGATTGAATTTCAAGAAAACGGGAGGAAACCATTTGCTTCCTTTTTGTATCTGCTATGATTGCTATTCGGAACCAGTTGCAAAAGGATGTTTTCACACCGCAGGAGGAGAGGTTGTTGGGCTTGGTCTTCGTCTGGAAAGCTGGAAAGAAGCGGAAAAACTGTATCTTGTGCGCCGCAGGTGCGTACACTAAGCAGTTGGTGATAGAGAGCTGTTCGTGACCGGTTTGAGATTTCACGCTGTGGGCAAAGGTGCATCATGCGAACCCCGTTTGGAAAAGTTTTACTTTTAGACTTTTCTGCGGCCCAAACTCTCGATACTTTCCATTATTTGTTCATCCAATATGTATGTAGTTTTAAAATAACGCAGTGTACTTAACATTCATTCTTCCAAATGCCAAGTGTAAGAGATAGTCGTTTAGCCTTTGTTTTTCTGATTTAGAGTTGGGAACGTGTCTTCCAATCTGAATATTCTCTTTCAGTAGATGTATTTGATCCGAGGATGTGCATATTGAAAGTTGGAACTGGTATTCTAAAAGGGTCAGAATGGACGAGGTTGACAGCAAAAACAATACGTACGCATTACATATTTAAAAGCTGCTTGGAGTAATAATTGCTTTTTCCATTTGGAAAAATCATTATCCTGGGAAAGTCGCTAGATTACATTTTGTCAAAACTTAGCCGAGGCATTTCTATTGATTAATTTGTTCTGAGTTAAACAGTTAGATTACCAGGCTCGAAACGGGGAGTAAACTTGAAAACTTACCACAAACTTGGTAAGGAGAATTTTGGAGTAATTTTATGTCTGCAGTTTCCGTTTTAGACCTTGCTGTTTGTTTTTGGGAGTATTCAATGATTCTTGAATAATTTCATTGCAAGTAATCCAGACTGTTATTTTAACTCAGTTTGAGAGATGATTTAGAACCATCAATCCTGTGGCAAAAGTGAACTACTGATTATGTGGGTTACATATGGATTCACTGAAGGATAACAACCTGCTGGTACAGATACTGCTATTGAAGCTTACTGGTGAGGAAAGTCAAAATGGTGGTGGAACTTGTTATCCTATGTAAATATAATTTTGAACTTTTTTATGTAGGAAGATATATTTTTGACTATTGAATCATTTATTTGAATTCTTATTCTGATAACTGAACACAACGTATCTATGAAAACTACAGTAGAAACTGCACGGATCATTTGGATTAATGCAACAACAATTCAAGACTAACATTCCAAACATATCTTTAAAAGCCCTATTAATGCCTGAGGAAACAAATGACTTCCAAAAGCTCCTTCCAATGTACTTGCACTTAAAGAGTCATAGTCATTGAGTCATACAGCACGGAAACAGAACCTTCAGTCCAACTGATCTGCGCCAACCAGACAAACCAACCTGATTTCGTCCCATTTGCCAGCATTTGGCCAATATCTCCCTAAACCCCTCCTAGTCATATACCCATCAAGATGACTTTTAAATGTAATTGTACCCACCTCCAGCACTTCCTCTGGCAGCTTGTTCCATATACACACCATCCTCTGTGAAAAAGTTACCCCTTGGGTCCTTTTTAAATCTTTCTCCTCTCACCTTAAACCTATACCCTTTAGCTTTGGACTCCCCTACAAAGAGAAAAAGACCTTGGCTAAACACCCTATCCATGCCCCTCATGATTTTATAAGCCTCTATAAGATCACCCGTCAGCCTCCGATGCTCCAGAGGAAAAAAGCCCCAGCCTATTCAACCTTTCCCTGTAACTCAAACCCTTCAGTCCTGGCAACGTCCTTGTAAGTCTTTTCTGCATTCTCTCAAGATTAACAACATCCGTCTTATAGAAAGCTGAACAGAATTGTATGCAGTATTCTAAAAGTGCTCACCAATATCTTGTACAGCCACAACATGAGGTCCCAACTCCTCCTTTCCATCTGGTATGATGTATCAATTGCTTACAATGCTTTTCTCAAAATTGGGGTGATCAAACACAGGTTGGGATAACAACTTTGCAAGAGATCTATGTTTAGTGCAGAAATATCATTCCACATTTTCAGTCACCTTTTATTTTACTTCTTCAACTCAACACCACTCTGGCCTCACTGTGCTGGTCCAGTATAGTGTTCATTGAGAACTTGTAAGCTTCAGGTACAGCATCTCATTTTTACAGTTGTGACTTAGAACCTTGCAGACTCAATATTATGTTCAACAAATCCTGATCACTTCTAAAATTCATTCATTCATGTGAGCAATACTGATTGTGCCAGCATTTATTGCTTATCTCATTTGGGCAGCATGGTGGTTCAGTGGTTAACACTGCTGCCTCACAGCACCAGGGACCCGGCTTCGATTCTAGCCTCGGGCAACTGTCTGTGTGGAGTTTGCACATTCTCCCCATGTCTGCATGGGTTTCCTCCAGGTGCTCCGGTTTCCTCCCACAGTTCAAAGATGTGCAGGCTAGGTGGATTGGCCATGCTAAATTGCCCATAGTGTTCAAGGATGTGTAAATCAGTTGGGTTATACGGGAATGGGTCTGGGTGGGATGTTCTGAGTGTCAATGTGGACTTGTTGGGCCGAAGGGCCTGTTTCCACACTGTAGGGATTCTATGATTCTATGATTTCTAGTTGTCCTTGAGAAGGTGTGGTCTATTTGGTGTAGGAACACCTTCACTGCTGTTATGGAGGAAGATCCAGGATTTTGACCAACACTGAAAGAACTGTTATATATTTCCAAGTGAGGATAGTGAGTGGCTTGAAGGGAAACTTGCAGGTGGTGGTAATCCTGTGTACCTGTTGCCTTTTCCTTCTAGATGGTAGTGGTCATGGGTTTGGAAGGCCCATCAAATCTGATCCACTATTTGATCATGGCTGTATGTTTCTCAACCCCATTCTCCTGCCTTCTCCCCCTAACCTTTGAATCCCTTACAATCAAGAACCTATCTATCTCTGTCTTAAATGCACTAAATGACTTGACCTGCAAAGCCCACTGCAGTAGTGGGTTCCACAGATTACCCACCCTCCAGATGAAAAATTCCTCCTTATTTCAGTTCTAAAAAGTTGTCCATTCTGAGGCTCTGCCTTCGTGTCTTAGTCTCTCCTGCTAGTGAAAACATCTTCTCCATGTCTACTGTATCCGGGTCTCTTGGTATTCTATAAATTTGATTAAGATCTCCCGTCATCCTTCTAAACTCAGTTGAGTACAGACCTAGAGTCCTGTATTGCTTCTTATACAACAAGCCCTTCATCCACTGGATTATTCTTGTAAAACTCCTCTGGACCTTCTCCAAAGCCAGCACATCCTTCCTTCGATACAAGGCCCAAAGCTGCTGTTAGTATTCCAAATGCAGTCTGACCAGAGCCTTGTGTAGCCTCAGCAGTACCCCTCTGCATTTCTAACCCTCTTGAAATAAATATTAACATTGCGTTTGCCTTCTGTAGTGATGGGAAGCAGGTGGATCTTATTAACTATGCAATCCTTGATTGGGGTTGTTAACCTGGACCAATCAGACAGTCCTGGCTGACCAATATGAACAGGAGATTCATTTTGGGGATTGACTCTGAGCTGCCTGGCCACACCCAGTGTACTGTGCATGTGTAAATAAAGGGTTACTTGGTGACGGGATACTGGCCCCTGTGCAGTTATTTCAGTGGTAATGGGAGTAAAAATATGTGCCTAAAGAATATTTCCTCGCAACAGTCATCTTTGAGTTGGAGTAAGCATTTCTGGCATCATGCCTTTATTTGGGAAACTTGACTTATTTGAACCTGCCATCAAAGACTGGGCCCAGTATGTGGAAAGAATACGATATTTCTTCCGGGCAAACGACATTGGCACAGATGAAAAGCAATGAGTAATCATTCTGACCACTTGCGGGCCTGCAAAATTCTCAGTTATTAGGGGCTTAACTTTCTCCGATGCACCAGACACTAAAACCTTCCAACAGTTGACAGATTTGGCTAAGGAATATAATGATCCCAAACCTCCTCTAATTCTGAGATGCTTTCAGTTTTATTTGACTGTTCAAGAACCAGGAAAATCTGTAACGGGATTTTTGATGAGGTTAAAACAACTCACAGAGCCTCACACAGAGCATGTCATGAATAAAGGGACCGTAGGCCAGCCAACAGCAGAACCCCACAACAAAGCCAAGCCTCGGTCAAATGGCTAAAAATTTCTTCAGGATCTGGCCTGGTAAACCATTGTAGTACCTGCCGGTATGTGGACTTGAGAAAGCAAAGGAGTCCTTCAAGGCCTGACTTGAGTAAGAAAACTCATAGGCCGGTATCCAGGAGAGTGCACTCCCCGGTAACCCCATCTACGTGTGGGTTCGAACAGTTAAATTCTTTAGGAATATCCAAATCACAACCAACTAAAATTAAATATAACAAGGTGAAGAGCTGGATGAACACAGCAGGCCAAGCAGCATCAGAGGAGCAGAGCCTCAGAATGGACAACTTTTTAGAACTGAAATAAGGAGGAATTTTTCATCTAGAGGGTGGGTAATCTGGAACCCATTACTGCAGTGGGCTTTGCAGGTCAAGTCATTCAGTGCATTTAAGACAGAGATAGATAGGTTCTTGATTGTAAGGGATTCAAAGGTTAGGGGGAGAAGGCAGGAGAATGGGGTTGAGAAACATATCAGCCACGATCAGAAAAGAAGGGTCTAGACCCGAAACGTCAGCTTTCCTGCTCCTCTGATGCTGCTTGGCCTGCTGTGTTCATCCAGCTCTACACCTTGTTATATCAGATTCTCCAGCATCGGCAGTTCCTACTATCTCTGTAACAACTAAAATTAATGTGTGGTTAAATGGTCACCTGGTCCTCATGGAGATTGACACAAGCGCAGATGTATATGTGGTTGCAGAATCTGTCTTTAAGCAGATTTGCTCTGGACTCCAACCCTTAAATTTGTGCAAAACCTTGGCCAGACTGAGAACGTACACTGGGGAACCTTCACAGATTAATGCTACGACTTTGGTTCCGGTGTCCTATAAGAAGCAGTTGGTGCAGTTACCACTGATTGTAGTAAGTGGTTCGGGCTCAAGTCTATTGGGGTGGAATTGGTTGAGAAAGATTCACTTTGATTACCTCAACATTTTTCAACTAGAAAATGGCTGCCTCAGTGAAGTCCGAATGAAATACCCAGGAGTTTTTCAGTAAGGGCTTGGGACTATCAACGGGGCCAAAGCCACTTTATATGTTGACCGGAAAGCAATTTCGTGGTTTTGCAAAGCCTGTCCAGTGCCATTTGCCTTGTGGGCAAAAGTAGAGGTGGAAATCAGGAGGCTGGAAAGTGAAGGAATCATCAAACTGGTGCAGTTCGTGGAATGGGCAGCACCGGTCGTGCCGATTATGAAGCCTGATGGCTCAGTTCGCCTTTGTGGGGATTTTAAACAAATGGTAAATGGCTTCTTGCAGCTGGATAAATGCCCAATCCCTCACATAGAGGACTTGTATGCAAACTTGGCAGGGAGGCTGTCTTTCATGAAGCTGGATATGAGCCATTCCTACTTGCAGTTGCGACTAGATGAGCAATTGCAGGAGAACGCCACGATACCCATAAGGATTTTTACCAGTATACAAGACTGCCATTTGAGGTATTATCAGCCTGCGCCCTTTTCCAGCGGATGATGGAGAACATTTTACAAGACCTACCCCAGATTGCCATTTATCTGGATGACGTGTTAATAACTGGGAAGACCAAAAAAGAGCAGTCGAAATGTTGAAGGCAAACTTAAAGAAACAGCCTACAGCTTCACTCGATGTCAAATTATCCTGGTTCCTGTTCGAATACAGGACCACCTTCACAGAACTATGGGGATAGCTCCAGCAGAGTTTCTTGTGGGGAGAAGACTCCACACAAGGTTAAACCTGGTATTTCCGCACCTGGCTATGTCGGTGAAATGGCAGCAGGAACGTCAATGCCGGCCACTCGCTTCCTCAAAGCAAGAGAGACAGTTTACTGCAGGGGACGAAGTTTGGTGCTGGAACCATGGAAATGGCCCTGCATGGGCACAAGGTGAGGTCAAGTCCTGTGACACACAAAGTTCAAATAAGTGAGGCAGTCCTGAACAAACATGTGGACTACCTGAAAGCTGCTACCTTGCAAACAGGGCAGGAGCAATACATACCTGGCCCCTGAGAACAGCCAGAAAGACTATCAGAAACTGGGATCTCCCCGGTCATGTCGAGTGTCAAGTAAACCTCAGTCTGAGACGGATGTAGCCTCGATACAGTTACTGCCAGAAGAAGATGAAGAAACTCTCCTGAGGCCCTCCGGACGTGAGATGGGCTATGGCTGGGTACATGTCACTGTGTCAAAGGAACTGGACCTCGGGTGAAAACGTCGCAGGAGAAGCTACCTGACAAAGACCAGGCGTACATCCCCAGACTTTGGGGGTAGGCCGGGGGAGTATAGTGATTGGAACCAGGTGGATCTTATTGACTATGAGATCCTTGATTGGGGTTGTTACCCTGGGCCATTCAGGGAGCGCTGGATGACAAATATAAACAGGAGATTCAGAATCCCCTCACTTCAGGAATTGACTCTGAGCTGGCTGGTCACAGCCAGTGTGCTGTGCACATGTAAATAAAGGGTGACTTGGTGATGGGATAGCAGCCTCTGTGCAGTTATTTCACCTTCCTAACTGCCAATTGAACCTACATGATAGCCTTAAGAGAGCCCTGAACTAGAACTCCCGGATACCTTTTGTGCTTCAGATTTCTGAAGACTTTCCCCATTTTAGAGAATAGTCTACACGTCTCTTCATCCTAGCAAAGTGCGTACCATCACACTTTCCCATATTGAATTCCATCTTCCACTTCTTTGCTCACTGTCCGTGCTTGTGCAAGGCCTTCTGCAGCCCCCTCACCCCCCACCCCCCACATCCTCAACATTACCTGTCCCTCCATCTATCTTTGTGTCATTTGGAGCTCCATTAGTCATCAGTTGCCATCCTGAAAAAAACATTTATCCTCACTCTGCTCCCTGCCAGCCAGCCAATCATTTTTCCATGCCAGTACCTTACTCCTGACACCATAAGCTGTTACCTTACATACAGCAGCCTTCTGACCAGCACCTTGTCAAAGGCCTTTTGGAAATCCAAATAGATCACATCCATTGGGTCTCCACTGTCTGACTTGCTTGTTACCTCCTCAAAGAATTCTAACAGATTTATCATTCATGACCTCCCCTTGCTGAAGTGGTACTGTCTCAGCCTGATTTCAAGTGCACTTTCAAGTATTCTGCAATCTTATCCTTAATAATGGACTCTAAAATCATACCACTGATCGAAGTCAGGCTAACTGGCCTATAGTTTCATGCCTTTTGCCTCCCTCCCTTCTTAAATAAGGGTGTTATATTAGCCATTTTTCAATCCACTGGGACTCTTCCTAAGTCCAGTGACTCCTGAAAGATCACCACCAATGCCTCTGTAATCTTGGTAGCCATTTCCTTCAGAACCCTGGGGTGTAATCCATCTGGTCCATACATCATAGAATCCCTACAGTGTGGGAGCAGGCCCTTAAGCCCAACAAGTCCACACTGATCCTCTGAACACCATCCCACCCAAACCCATCTCCCACCTCTTTTCCCTGTAACCCACCTAATCTACACATCCCTGAGCACTATGGGTAATTTAGCATAGCCAATCCACCTAACCGGCACATAAGACCATAAGACATAAGAGCAGAAGTTAGGCCATTCAGCCCATCTAGTCTGCTGTGCCATTCAATCATGGCTGATAAGTTCCTCAACCCCATTCTCCTGCTTTCTCCATCCATGCCTCTCATGATTTTATAAACCTCTATAAGGGCACCCCTCAGCCTCCAACACTCCAGGGAAAATAGCCCCAGTCCATTCAGCCTCTCCCTATTGCTCAAACCATCCAGTCCCAGCAACGTGGTTGTAAATCTTTTCTGAACCCTACTCAACAATTGTACCAACCAGATACCTGATCTGATTTCCACGTTCAGAATTTGTGTTATCTATTTCTCGGGGAAGCAGTGGAGAATTGGAAGTGGTATATAAAAAAGGTAAGTTGGTGCTTTAATAAGATGCAAATACATGGAAATAGGGTAGTCACTATTCAAAGGCAAAAGACTGCAATTGCCATTTAAGGCTTGGAAGAAAAATTGCTGATTTTTTTCTCGACATTGGGATTGTGTTTTTCTCATTGTCTCCATATTTTTCCATATTCCTCACCATTGCTCATGTCAAACCAAGGAAGAGAAAGTTCACCAAATATTGAATATTTCAATCCGATTACTTCAAAATCTTACGCAAAGTCTTAGCTTTTCATGATAACCTACATTTTGGAAAAAATGAATCACCTTGATTGTTTATCTTGTCCTGCATTCATTTGCTGTTTATTTTGCGATATTTATTTCCTACTTCCTGTGAAGTATCCTGCAGCATAGAATTTATTACTGTGCCAAATGTTGTTTGTGCATTGAAAACAAAACATTATTATGTATCAAATAGAGCACGCAAAACGCGTGAGTCATCTTTAAATTCAACAGCAACCTCTGGCGTTATGTCATTTGTTTTTGATTTTCCTGTGATACCTGTAAAAATTCCTAAAGTCTGGAATTCCAGTGCTGAGAGCATCTTCATATTTTCTCAGGAGTGGCTTTAAGGTTGTTCTAATCTTCATGCATTCATGGATCACAGAAACAGATGGCCATTTATATGATCAGTTATCTCTATTTAACTCTCATTTTGGTATCTCCTCAATCTGGGCCCCAGATTTCATAGGTCAGTGAGGATGTGTTTCAATGAATTTATTTTGAATAGCAAGGGTACCCTTTTGTAAATCTGAGCTACCCTTCTGGATATAGTTCCAGAAATGTTGGGCAGTGGGGCAATGGATCAGGTGCCCTTGGGAGGAGGCATAGTCAGATACTCTTTGGACCTGTTAAAAGCAGATAAGAAAGTTCCTATTAAGTGCATATATCCATTGGAACTGCCAAACTGTCAAAGAACTGTTAAATTAAAAAAACCCAACAAACTGCGGGTGCTGGAGACCTGAAACACTAAAAACAAATTTTTTGAAGCAGTCATACTGGATTAAAAATGTTAGTTCTGCTTCTCTCTCCACAGATGCTATCAGACCTGTTGGATTTCATAGGATCTCTACCATTTGGAAACAGGCCATTCAACCCATAGAGTCTGCACTAATTGTCCGAACAGCATCCCATCCAGACCCACCCCCGGTACTCTATCCCTGTAACCCCGCATTTCCCATGGCTAACCCACCTAACCTGCACATCCTTGGACACTATAGGCAATTTAGTAAGACCAATCCACCTAACCTGCACATCCCTGAACACTACGGGTAATTTAGCATGGCCAATCCACCCTAACCTGCACATCTTTGGACTGTGAGAGGAAACCGGAGCACCTGGAGGAAACCCATGCAGACACAGGGAGAATGGTGCAAACTCCATACAGACAGTCACTTTCTCATTATTGATAGCCCCTACACTCACCTCTGCCCCCTGACTCTCATAAAGTTCTGGTATGCTGTTGATGTATTTCCCTGTGAAAATGATGCAAAGTGCCAATTCAGTTCATTTGCTATTTCTTTGTTCCCTTCTCCAGCCTCATTTTCCAGCCATCCAATGTCCAATGCCTCTCTTACCTTTTAGATATCTAAAGTAAACTCTTGCAATCTTCTTTTATATTACTAGCTAGCTTACCCTCGTATTTCATCTTCTCCCCTGCCTTATTGCTGCCTTAGTTATCCTCTCCTGGTTTTTAAAGGCTTCCCACTTATCTTTACCACATTGTACGCTTTTTCTTTTGCTTTTCTGCTGTCCCTGACTTCCCTTGTCAGCATGGTTGCCTCCTCCTCCTCCTCTTTGTATGTTTCTTCTTCCTTGGGCTGCATTTGTACTGTGCCTGCCAAATTATCCCCAGAAACACTTGTCATTGCTTCTCCTCTTCCTTCCCTGCTAGGGTCCCCTTCCAGGCAACTCTGGCCAGCTCTTTTCTCATTACTTTGTAATTATCTTTACTCAATTATAATATTGTTACATCTGATTCCAGCTTCTCTCCCTCAAATCCCCTTGGGGTTCTTTCACCTTAAATTCCTTAATCAAGTCTGCCTCATTACTCATCACGCAATCCAGAATTGCCTGTTCCCTAGTGGACTCTACCACGGGCTGCTCCAAAAAAAATCTCATAGTCACCAAGTTATACAGCACAGAAACAGACCCTTCAGTCCAACTCGTCCATACCAGCCAGATATCCTAACAGATCGAGTCCTATTTGGCAGCATTTGGCCCATATCCTTCTCAACTCTTCCTATTCATATACCCATCCAGATGCTTTTTAAATGTTGTAATTGTACCTGCCTCTACCACTTCCTCTGGCAGCTTGTTCCATACATGTACCATGCTTTGCGTGAAAAAGTCGCCCCTCGGGTCCTCTTTAAATCTTTTTCCCTCTCACCCTTAAACCTATGCCTTCTAGTTCTGGACTCCCCTACCCTGGGAAAAAGACCTCGGCTATTCACCCTATCCATGCCCCTCATGATTTTATAAACTTCTATAAGATCACCCTCAGCCTCCACTCCAAGGGAAAAAAGCCGCAGCCTATTCAGCGTGTTCCTGTAGCTCGAACTCTCCAATCCTGGCAACATCCTTGTAAATCTTCTCTAGCCCTTTCTCATAGACATTCCACTAATTCGTTTTCTTGGGATCTGCTACCAACCTGATTTTCCAAGTCCACCTGCATTTTGAAGCCCTTCATGATTATTGTAATAGTGCGTTTCCTACATGCTTTTTCTGTCTCCTGATTTATTTTCTTCCCCTCATCCTGACTACTATTAGGAGGCCTGTGCATAACCCCCCATCAGGGTCTATATTCCTTTGCGATTTGTCAACTTTACCCACACAGATTCCATGCTTTATGACTTTGTCACTTCTTGCTGTCGATTTAATTTAATTTAATTTCTTACTAATATAGCAACCCTGATCCATCTCCTGCCCATCTGTCTGTCATTTTGATGGAAAATGTATCCTTGGATATTTAAATCCTTGGATCAGCCCTGATCTTCTCGTAGTCACGATTCTGTGATTGTATCTGCCAATTTCAATTTGAGTTACAAGCTCACTTACATTATTTCATCAACTCTATGTATTTAAGTATAATACCGTCAGTCCTGTATTGACTGCCCCTTCTCATAGTCACCTCCTTACCTGCTATGCCTAAAGTTAGATTTCTGACCTTTTCCATGCTCTTGCTCATTTACACCTCATCTCCAACCTGTGGTGTCATTAGAGTTGTTTTTGGGCTACA